AAACAAAACAAAAAACCGCAAAAGAAATAACATCCCAAATCCAAGACACAGGGTAAGGGTGAGGGAGATAGTTGAAAGAACTGAAGCACGGGGGACTGGCGCAATAGCACAGCGGGTAGAGTGTTTGCCTTGCATGCGGCAGACCCGGGTTCGATTCCCAGCATCCCATATGGTCCTCTGAGCACCGCCAGGAGTAATTTCTGAGTGCATAAGCCAGGAGTAACCCTGTGCATCGCTGGGTGTGACCCAAAAAAGAAAAAAAAAAAGAAAACAAAAAGAACTGAAGCACATGCGTTGCAAGCAGGAACCCCAGATTAAGAGCCAACACGGCAGGGCAGAGTGCTAGTGCAGTGGGTAGAGTGCTTGCTTTGCATTCAGCAGACCCAGGTTCGATATCCCCATATGATCCCCTTAGCTCCCTAGGAGTGACCTCTAAGTGCAGAAAGTGTCTTAACTCCTGCACTATATCTTTAGTCCCTAGAGACAGTTTAATAGTCCTCTTTATAACTTTCATTCTTAGTCCTCCAGGCTAACTCCACCCCTTTTTCTTTATCTCTGGGCTGGAGTGAGTTTCAATGCACACACACACACACACACACACACACACACACACACACTGAATTAGATTTGCTTAAATTATAGGAAATAGTGCTAGTACTGGGACTCCCAAGGGACAAATGAAAAACAAAACATAGTCTCTGCCCTTGAAGTGATTCATGTGGATTTTATTCATCTTTTTAGTGGCTTGAAACAGACACTGTTCATTTCTCCACTTTCTTTTGCTCTCAAAGTCTTGCAAAATGCCGGAAACACATTTGAACTCCTACTTAACTCTCCTCCCCCTCTTGGAGAACCCAGGCCCAGACTCCAGAGACTCAGCCCTGGCCAAGATTCTGCCTGCCCCGCTCTGGGCCTCTGGTGTCTGCCTTGTGGCGCTGCTTGGAGCTCTCAGATACTGCCCGAATGTGGTTTCTGGCTTCCTGAGTTCTCACATTCAGCCTTGTGCTGCAGATCAGACCTAGTTCCTGCTTTGGACTCTCACAGACTCACGTTTGCTTATATTCTGAGTACTCTGGAGTCTTTGGGTTTGAGTCACTGCTAGGGATTTGCTTTTCTGTGTTTTCTTTTCTCACTTGACAGAAGAAAGAAACGTCTTATTGCAAATGCCTTGGGGCTGTGTAAGGAGAGGCTATCACGGTTTTAAGGATAAGGATTGAGAAAGATCAGTTTCCTAATTGAATGTCTTGTCTCTCTTAGTTCTGCTTTTTATCCAAGGGAAATTTTCCTGTTCTGCGATCATGAGGGGTTGTACCTACTGCAAGCTTGCTGTGGTGTTTGCATCATTTAGCTCTGATGCACAGTGGGGGCTCACACATCAAGTGGTAGTCCTTGCATACTTTTGACCATGATGCTTGCCAAGGTCTACTCGACTTTTATTTTCATACATGCTTGCTGGGGGCTCACAGTCTTAGTTGAGGCACATGGTTATGGTTACAGTGTAGCTGAGTGCCCACAACACATCTCACTTGGTGCTGGAGAAATAGTACAGTGGGTAGGGCACTTGCCTTACCCACTTGGCTGACCCAAGTTTGTTCCCCAACACCCCATATGGTTCCCTGAACACCTGAGTGTGGATTAATTTCTGAGTACAGAGCTAGAAGTAACCCCTGATCATTGCGGGGTGTGGCCTAAATAAACAAACGAGAAAAAGAGATTAATTTGGAGAATGGGAAATTGTATAACTGTTATGTATGGTTAGCATGCACCTGATCTGGGTTTGATCCCCTGCACCACATGGTTCCCTGAGCATAGCCAGGTGCAGCCCTGGAGGTAGGTTCCTGAGCACCACTGGGGTGGCCCAGGTAATCTTGGCACCATGGGACCCTAAAAGCATCAGCTTCTCAGGCCCCTTCATTCAACTGGCCCGGTTGGTTGAGAATTACTGGTGCTCCAAATATATTTTATGGGGACTACTCAGAGGCCACCAGGGCTACACCTACTAATGTTATATGGGACACGTAGTGTTAGAGATCAAACTTGGGATCTTGTACATGATAGCAATATACTCAAGTATAGGATCTCTCTCTGGGGCCTTAACAAGTATTTTTTCAGCAGCCATTCGTTATGTATCAGTGTAAAAACCTGGGCTTTAGAGCTTTGCAAAACTTGACAAACTTTGCAAAACTCAAGTTCTGTCACTGGCAGAGGGTGTGCCCAATTCAGAATGTGGCAAGCCACATTTCTGTAAGTTTTTTAAAAGAAAGTATTTAACTCTATTCAGAGCTGTATCTCGTCCAGTTTTTCTGGCCAGCATCAGTCCTCTGCTCTTTTCCCATTTGTGGCATAAGTTTAGGGGCCGGCTGCTCTTTTTCTTCTCTGGACAACTGAACTAATCCGTGTGACTTGAGGTTGACCAATCAACAACAGCTCCTACCCAACACTGTCTCATGAGTGAGTGACTCAAAGCCAAAAGAATATGTGGATTGAATCCCAGCTGTGGTGTGTATTACTGCTGGCAGCAGCTGCGGCTTCCTTCTTGGTAAAATGACTTTTGTGCCCACTTGTTTTCCAGTCATATGCACCTGTCCCCTGAGGATGCTGTGAGCCCCCAATGTACTTGTACTGATTTTCTGCTTTGCTTGTCCTTGCAACAGTGTCAGTGCTTGTACTTGCAACTAAAAAGAATATCACCTGATAAATTATGGCAATTTCTTTAGCAGTCTGTGATCTTCTTGAGAGCAGGCCCTAAATTTTTGTTTTTTTTGGGCCACACCTGGCAGTACTCATTTCAGGTGGAGCTGAGGGGATCATATGGGATGCCACGGATTGATCCTGGGTTAGCTATGTACAAGGCAAGTGCCTTACCCACTGTACTATCTCTCCAGCCCTTAATCTTCTTTGGTAGATTTTCATTTATGTGTTACCAAAGAAAGCACAATTAATGCTTTTGTCTCTGGCTTCCCAGAAGCTCTTCTGAAGCACTGCCTTTACCTGACTCTGCTGAAGAAACACCCTCTTTAGTCTTCAACCCTGATTTGAAAAGCATGTCTTCTATGGACTTCGATCACTAGAGAATAATCTACAATTTTTTTAAATTCCTTTCTGATGGTGACAGCTCCCAAGCAGGATGACTTTATGCATAGTTTAGGGGACAATATAGTGCTGGGAATTGAATCCTGAGCCTCCACGTGCAAGGCATATACTCCAGCCCTTTGAGCTATCATCATTTTTTGGTTTGTTTTTGGGCCACAGGCAGTGACAGTGTTCAGGGCATGTTCCTGGCTCTGTGCTCATGGAGAGCTTGAGCAACCAGATAGGATGCTGGGGATGGAACCCAGGCAACTGCCCAACTCGCTGTACTATCGCTCTGGCTTGTAAGCTGTTAATAATTTTTTTCACTCCAAATATTCTCTTTTATTTTTCTTCTTTCAGCAGACACACATTGAGCTTCTATATTTGGCAAGTTTTATTTATTTTTATTTTTTATATTTGGCAAGTTTTAATTCAATAGATACAAACTATTCCCTAACTTTAATTTGAGAAACAAATGCAACCAAGAGAATGAGTGAAATAATTTGGCTCCATGCTGGTCTGTTGAAAATGAAGAACTGATAAGGTAAAGGTATGTCAGTATGTAGTGAAAAGGGGTCTCTGGGGGTCAGAACAGTGGTACCACTGTAATGTGCTTGCCTTGCACACAGACAACCTGAGTTCCATCCCTGGCACTCCATATGGTTTCCAGACTACTGTCAAGAGTCGGTCCTGAACATAGAGCCAGGAGTAACCCCTGAGCACCACCAGATGTAGACCCAAAATAAACAATGGGGAAAAAAAAAGGAAAAGAAAAAAAAAGGATCTTACTGAGTATATTAAAAATTGAAACCGACAGAATAACAGAGTCAGGTTTGCAAACAAGCAACAGCCTGATGGATGGATCTGCAGCTGGAAAGAGCTAGTAAAGAATCATATAAGCTGCTGAACTCTAAGAGAGCCTGGATGAAGAGAGAGATTTTTTGTTTCTTGTTTTTGAGCCACACCTGGTGCTCAGTACTTCTGGCTCTGCAAGTAGGAATTACTCCAGGTAATCCTGGGGGAGCATCTGGGATTCCAGAGATGGAACCAGGGTGTGCAAGGCAGGCACCCTAACCGTTGCATGCACTATAGCTCTAGCCCCCTGAAGAGAAAGATTTTAAATGGGGCTATGATAATTAGATTTACACTTTAAGAAGTGCAATATCTAGTTGTCCTTTCTCTCCAATGTAGAGTCGTTATTATTATCCTCTTAAGTGTTTAGCTCTTCTCCCCGACACTGACAAGGTCCCAGCTTGAGAAACGTTTCAGACCCTTCTGGGGTGGCTCCCATCTTCGACCTTGGTCCCCAGATGCACAGAATAGCTCCTCAGCAACTAGAATTCTTTCCTAGGAGTTAAGGAGGCAAAGTGGAGGAGCGAGTGAGTGCAAAGGCCCTGAGGCGGTTAGAAACCCGCCCGGTTGCAGGACTCAAAGCGACGGCGAAGGCGGGTGTGTGAGAAGGGGAGAGAGGCAGGTTAGGTCCTGGTTCTGAATAGCCGGGTAGAGAGGTTACAGTGCAGATCTCGATCTTAACCCGGAGAACCGTGGGGGAACGGCGACCCTCGAAGAGCTCCCACTGCCTCTGCGGGACGAATGGATGGGAGGCGGCGAGGAGAAGGGGGAGGGGGGCCGCCGTCGGGAGGTGAGAGACGCGACGGGGGCCCGTGACGCGAGGGTCGGCAGTGGCCCGGCGAGCCGCGAGCGCCTCCGCGGGGCACGGAGGAGGCGGAACGAGCAGGCCCGGGCGGCGGGCGGCGGGCGGCGGGCGGCCTCGGGGTGCGCGGCGGCCCCGCGCTCCGGGACCCCGGCGCCCGCTGGGTTCCCGCGCGTCAGCGCAGTGGGCGTGGCCCGCCCGCGTGGTCGCCAGGGTGACCGGGAGGGGCGGGCCCCGGGGGCGGGGCCGTTGGGGCGCTGCGTCACTCGGTGGTGGCGAGGGTGCGTGTGTGTGGGGAGGGCGCGGGGGAGACGCTGGGCGCGTCCCCGGGGTCACGTGGTGCGCAGCACGCAGAGTCCTTCTGTCGGTTGGTCCTGGAGCGGCGCCGCCGGAGCGGGGCTGTGAGGTGAGCTCGCGGCGAGGCGCCGCCGGCCGGCCGGGGCGCGGTGGGGTCGGCCCGCGCCACGCGCGCGCGCGCGCCGTGCGGGCGGGCGGGCGGGGACGGGGCCGGACGGCGCGGCCGCTCGGTGCCCCGCTCGGCCGCGCTCCCCGCCTGGCCCCGCTCGCCCGGCCGGGAGGGAGGCCCGGGGACCGCTGCCGAGAGCGTGGCGGGCGTGCGAGCGGGGCCCAATCCCCAGGGCCGCCCGCGGGAGTGGCGGCGGCGGCGGCCAATGGGCGCCGCCCGAGGGGCTGGGCCGCAGGGTGCGGGCCCGGGGCGCGGGGCTGGCCGGGTGGGGGGTGGGGGGGAGGCTCGGGCCGGAGCTGCGTGGTCGCGGGGAGCGCCCCCGCCCCCGCCCGCGCCCGCCGCGTCCTTTCCTCCCGGAATGCGTTTTCTTTTATTGACGCTTTTATTCTATTCCGAGGCGCACACCCCTTTCCTGGGCCCCCGACTGTGGGAGTGTCCTCTTTCTCTGTAGTTTTGAAAAATGTGGGAGGTGCCCCCGTTTGTTCGGTTCCAGCCCTGGGGTTGTGCCTCAGTTTCCAAGCCTCCCCCCGCCCCCCCAGACCTCCCGGAGTTGAGGTCCGTATCCCTTTTCGCCTCGCCTCCCAAGCTGGGCGGACACTCCCTTTTCGCACCTCCAATCTGAGCGCTCCCTTTCTGATTTGGGGGTTCACCTCAAGAACGTGTGCCTGAAATCTCAAACGAAAGTTCGGGGTTGCTTACGTCCATGGAAGAATCCTGCTTTCCAGACCCCAAATCTGACACCATGCTTTCTTGTTTTTTGTTTTGTTTTGTTGTTTTTTAATTCGTAGACCATTCCCTTTTTGTTGTCATTGATTTTTCTGTGTCCACCATCATAAAGTAGGGGTACAATTTCAGTTTCATTGACAAGAGAATTCACTCCCTTTTCCAATCACTGCGCTTGGGGTGCACCCTTTTCACGAGTGCCCCGGTTGAACTACTCTATTACTTGTGGCAGACCCATTTTTTATAACAGACTGTTTCTCTTTTGGGTGCATCGTTCTTGGGGTGCAGCTACTTTTTCTTTTGGGGTAAATTCCTGGCCCTACACTCAGGGATTATTCCTCGTGGGCTTGGGGGACCGTCCCTGGGATCAGGTGTGTGTATCCGTCGGTATGCCCACCGGTGTCCGTGTGTCTGTGTCTCGGGCTAGAACTCAGGGCCTCATTCACAGGAGGCACATGATGTCCCATTCAGATACTCCTTAAATTGAGCCTAGGTTGGCCTTTCAGAGCCGCCTTCTCCTTGAGGCGTGTACTGGAGTGATTCGTCTTTTGAGCCTCTCTGCTGCCCTCTTTGACATTTTCTTTCCTCCTGGTCGCACAGATCCCCTTAGGTGTTCCCTCTGTTCAATGGGCCATTTCCTCTTCTTTCCTCTGGTGAATGCTTATCTTCCTTTGACCCAGCACTTTCTCTGTTAGTCGTTTTCTTAGGGCACTTCCCGAGGGGGGCTTTTTAAAGCCTACCCTTTTGTTGGGTGTGGGGTGCATGTCAGGGAATCGAACCCCGCCCCTCATAGATGATCCTGTGCTCTGCCACTGAAGCAACTCTCTCTCAGCCTCTGCTTTTTATCTTCGTTATAGCTCAGTCTCCACTTTTATCTTTTGTCTTTCTGCTTTTTTTTTTCCTAACAGGAACTCTTGGCTTGTCTTATCCTGAGGCTCTTTTTTTCTTTTCGGGTTCTGACTCTCTTCTGATGATACTGCTTTGCTTGCTGAGTGGTGTAGAGATTTTTCCATTTCTTCCTTTGGCTGCTGGTGTGTTGGAAGTAGCCTCAAATTCACGCCTGCTTGACTATCTCCTCTGCCCTCCCCCCCCCCCCCAGCTGCCTACATTAGATTATTTATTTTGGTTTTGGGGTCACACCCAGTGTTTCAGGGCTTGCTTGGCTCTGTGCAGTGGGATCACTCCTGGCTATTCTTGGGGGACTGTGTGGGGTGCCAGGGATTGAGTTAGAAACTGAGAGAAAGATTGAATTAACTGCATGTAAGGCAAGCACCTTTAAACCTGTGTCCCTCCTGCTGTGCTGCTTACTGTAAGATTATTTAAAAAAATAATTGATTTTGGGCTTTTCTTTTGGGGGGGTTGTCACACCCACTGTTGCTCAGAGCTTATTCTTGGCTCTGTGTTCATTGATTACTCCTGGCAGGGCTTTACCGCCATACTGTCTCTCCAGCCCCACTATAAGATTCTGTTTGGATAGGTACTGTTTTTTTCCTGCTTTATTTCTATAATGGGAGAAAAAGAGGAATTCTTCTGGTCTTGTTTCTCTTCCTAAGTGCCCTCTCTATTCTTGCTTTCTTTCTTTTTTCTTTTTGGGTCACACCTGGCATGCACAGGGGTTAGTTACTCCTGGCTTTGCACTCAGGAATCACTCCTGGCGGTGCTCAGGGGTGTGGGATGCTGAGAATCGAACCCGGGTTGGCTGCGTGCAAGGCTAACACCCTACCCGCTGTGCTGCTGTGCTATCGATCCAGCCCCTCTTGCTTTCTTACCAAGGAAAAAAAAGGTCTTTTGGAGGAATCCCTTGGTCACTCTTTGTTTTTGCCCCTGCAGTGGAGGGCGTGTATAGGCGTAGAATGGAGATTTATCTCGCCCCTTTTTCTTCTCTCCTTGCTCAATTGATTCCACCTTAAAATCTCTCTGTATTTCCAGATCTGCCCAACTCTGACCAGATTAATTTCTCCACAGCTGGAATCCCTAGTGCTTATGGGATAACAGCCTCTCTGACCTGTCTTTCTCAGAGCAGTGCCTGAGTGTGCTGCAGCTGTGAGGCCTCAGTGAGGGAGTTTGGGTCTGAGAAAATGTACTGACAGGACAAGGAGAAAAATAACTGCATTTTCAGGCCCACATCCTCTGAATCTCATTTGGAGATTGGAGATTTGCCAAGCACCTGCTTCTTGGGATCCTGGGGGATTTAATGATGCTCCCAGGAACCTGTAGGAATTAATGAGGCTTCTGGAGAAGTGCTCTGAATTCAGTGTTAGAAATGGAATAAAATCTAAGCATTATGGTGTTTTCAAAAAAACGAAGCTGTTTTCTATTTCATGTGCTTGAAAGTCCTAGAGCTTTGTTGTGTTATTTCAGGAAGTGGCATAGATCCCGCATTTAGATTATGCTGTCTTTTTTTTTCCCTCTTACTTTCTATTTCCCCCCACCGTGGTGCTGGGGATTATACCCATAACTATACATGCAGTGTAGAAACTCTGTCACTGAGCTATAGTCTCAGCCCCCCGTGGTTGTTAGTAAATATTAAATTCACTGTATCACTGTCATTCCATTGTTCATCGATTCACTCGAGCGGGCGCCAGTAAGGTCTCCATTCGTCCCAGCTCTGAGACTTTAGCAGCCTCTCCTTACTCATCTTTTCCTACGTTGCCATTCTGGAGGCTCTTTCAGGATCAGGGGACTGAGATCCGTTATTTTATTAATTTAGTTAAGAAAATTTTTTTTTTTCTGAGATAGGGTCTGGGAGGAGATAGTTTAAATGGTAGAGTACATGCTATGCATGTGCAAAGTCCTGGGTTTGGCCTTTGGTACATGCTCCCAGTGCTGCTACTGAGTCTGGCCCTCTTGGTTCCCAGGTACTCTATAATGCTACGATAGTGAAAATACTTTGGAGGTTTGTTTGAGTAGTATGTAATATGGTATACAGATGGGGGCCAGAGTGAGAGTACAGCAGATAAGGTGCTTGCCTTGCATGCGGCTGACCCATGTTTGGTCCCCGGTATCCCGTATGATCCCCTGAGCACCCCCAGGAACAGTTCTTGAGTGCAGAGCTGGAAGTAACCCCAGTGCATTGCCAGGTGCGGCCCCAAAACAAAACAAACAACACCCCCTAAAAATATGATATACAGGAAGTGATAGATACTTAGCGTCTTTATTTTCCTATCCGTGTACTACAGTACAGTAACCCTCTTCGCCATTGGGCACTACACCAGGGCTTCTCAAACTTGAATGTATATGAAAATTATAAAAGAGAAGGAGGAGTGTGTGACTAAAGAGGTACTTGGTGTGATTCCCTCTGTCTCATGGAGGGGCCTGACTGGAAAGCTACATTTTTGGTTGCATTGTGATGCTGATGTTGTTCACCTACATATTGCTTAGTAAAGTTCTATAATCAAAGGCAAAGATTTCTCCTTGAAACATGGAAGGTGGTGGTTAGCCTTTTAGGCTAAGATATTCTCTATTTTCTCTTTATTCAGACACACGTCCCTTCAAATTTGCACATTGTCCTCCTCAGGACTATTCCTTAGACTTAATTGTGGTCATTATTTAGCTTTCAAAATCATGACTAAACTTCTGAGGTTTGATTTTTTTTTTTAAAATACCTATTTTGTACTGTGTTTCTGTGTATTTAAACATTCATGCTTTATTTATTTATTTAAAATTTTTATTAGTGAAACACCATGAGGTACAGTTGTAGACTTACAGATTTTTGTGCTTGGGTTTCAGTTATACAGTGATCAAGTACCCATCCCTCCACCAGTGCCCATTTTCCACCACCACAGGTTCCAGTATCCCTCCCACCCCCATCCCCCCATCCCACCCTGCCTCTGTGGCAGGGCATTCCCTTTTGTTCTCTCTCTCCTTTTGGGTGCTGTGGTTTGCAAAAGAGGCATTGAGTGGCAATCATGTTCGGTCTATAGTCTACTTTCAGCATGCTTCTCCCATCCTGGGAGGATCCTCCCAGCACCCTTTATTTGGTACTCCCTTCTCTATCTGAGCTCCCTTTTCCCCTTCATGCTTTATTTATACTTTAATATTTCATACTTTAATGTGAACTAAATTTTTAACATAGATTCATTCTCATAAATACTGCACAATTGATACAGTAATCAGTCTGCTTGTCTCCCTGATTTCTTCATCTGTCATCCTATCATAGGTATGAAGTCTGAGGTACCCATAGTCAGTATGCTCACAGGTCTTAGAGGGTTTTTCTG